TGAGCCACCTTCCCAGCCCTCTGTGAGACTTATCTCTAAACTACCAAAAAAAAAGCTTGAGATGAAGCTGGGTCTCAAGTGGCAGAGCACGAGATGTGAGCAAAAGAAGCTGAAGGACAAAGCCCAGGCTCGGAGTTCAAGCCCCAAGACCAGCACACATACACCAACTCCTTCCTTCCCTCCTTGCCCCCCCTCCGTCCCCCTTTTCCTCCAACACAAGTGTCTCCTGGTTAGTGACAGATCTCTTGTGCTTATTATGCTCATCTGAATCCAGACCGATGCCAAGAGTCTGCCAGGGTGTATAGGGTGTGTGCCCTACTGCCTAGGACTCAGTGCTGGGTATGGCGCTCTCACCTGCCCCTGTGCATGACCAACAGCCTCCTCTGGCCTCTGGCTACTGCTACCCCTTCCTCCTTCCATGAGCTTGACCAAGCACAGATGTCACATCCCATCAGCTCAAATCCTTTCTTTGTTCCTCAGCAGAGGAACTGGGAGGAAGAGCACGAGAAGAGAGGACTAGTACCTGCTGTTAGCTCTAAATTGCTGGGCTACACGGGGTCCAGATAGCAGGAACCACCTGTGCACACACTAAGTTTGGGCTCCAGGTCCACAGTTGAACTGGAGGCTCCCCAAGGGACTGGTACTGGGAAGGTCCAATACCAGTCAGTGGTCATCTTCCAGGGCTCTGGACTCCTTTGGAGGCCTTCCACCTGGTTCCTTCTCCCTCAGACAGGGAAAGGACAGTGTTGTCATAAGCACATATCTGAACTCCTCTCTATTAAAACAAACTTTCTATTTTTCAGTGTTCCTCCCCCCTAAAAGTCCTGCTCCATCAGGGATTATTGAGCTGGCTAACTGGCTCTGGGAAGAGCTTCCGTCCTTGTGGCAATCTTGGTGGCTTGCCTGCACAACTGTTTGGCTGCCTGAAGCTATTAGTAACTTGATTCCCTTCCAAACTGTCAACACAGCACTACCCTCAGCCTCATTAAAATTGATGTCAGCACAACATGACAGGGCTGGAGCAGAAGGTCACAAAAAAGGGTAGTATAGTCCCTTGTGTTCAACTGTCTTTCTCTGGTGGTTAGGGTGATATGGGCCAAATGGGAATTCCAGTAATGGAAGGAATCCAATCTACAATTCATCCTCCTATAGTGATCCTACGAACCAGTTAAGACTACGGTGGTAGGGCTCCTATTTGCTCAGCTGTCACTCTACCACTTGAGCCATACCTGGCTTTTTGCTGGTTATTTCAGAGATGGTGTTCTAGTGGCCTTGTCTCCTTCCCACCCATGCCTAAAAGAGGATGTGCTTTAAACTGCAATCCACCACATCTCAAAACTCCAAAGTAACTAAGATTACCAGTGTGTCCCAGCACCAAGCACTTTTTGGTCATGGGGCTTGAACTCTGGGCTTGGGTGCTGTCCGTGCACTCTTTAGTTCAAGGCTAGCATTCTACCACTTGAGCCATACTGCCACTTCTGGTTTTCTGGTGGTTAATTGGAGATGAGTCTCATGGGGACTTTCTGGGATGGTTTTGAACCACGATCCTCAGATCTCAGCCTCCTGAGTAGCTAAGATTAAGGCGTAAACTACTGGCACCCAGCTATACCAATGCCCTTTAATCTAGTATGGCTGAGCTTCAAGCCTCTATGAGGGCCAGAATCCTGTCAACTTCTGGTAAACTAAAAGAAAATCATGATACAAACAAAACATGCCTTGAGGATTTCCTAAGGCCTCTCACTGGCTACAGTGGAAGGTCAAGCTGACACTTTACACAGTGAATACAAAAGAAAAGTGTGGCCTCTACAAGGCCTGTAAGAAAAAGGTCCAAATTATTTCTCCAGCCTCATCTTCCTCCCAATATCTTTCTCCTTCTCTAGTCCAATTTGCCTCCTGGTATCTAAATGTATGCAGTTACTTCCTACTTCTGACCTGCTTCCCATGACCCTCCTCCTCTCTCCACCCCCCCTCTTTTGCTCTTGCTAAGCAGGTACTCTACCAGTCCTCTTTAGTACTGGTTGAAATGGGGTCATGTTTTTTGCTCAGGCCAACTTGAACCACCAACTTAATTACCATTCCTAACATAGCTGGAATAAGTTTGCACCATCATTCCCAACTTCAGTTGGGATGGAGTCTTATGTATTGTACTGCCTGGGCTGGCCTGGTACAGCGATCCTTTGCATCTCAGCCTCCTTTCTAGCTTGGATGACAACACAAGCAACTGTGCCCTGCTATTGGTCAAGAAGGGATTATGTGTGAACTTTCAACCTGCTGGCTTTTAGAACTGTGATCCTCTAGTTCTCAGTTCCTCAATAGTGGATTTCTGTCACTACTTACCACCAGACATGGTGGCATACACCTATTATCCCAGTTAGACAGGAGGAAAAGATCAGAAGGATGAGGCTTTGAGGCAAAAAAGCTTGCAAGAGCGCGGTGGCTCACAACTGTAATCCTAGCTACTCACGAGGCTGAGATCTGAGGATTGCGGTTCAAAGCCAGCGCAGGCAGGAAAGTCCATGAAACTCTTATCTCCAATAAACCACCAGAAAACCAGAATTGGCGCTGTAGCTCAAGTGGTAGAGCACAAGCCTTGAGATGAAGAGCTGAGGGACAGTGCTCAGGCCCAGAGTTCAAGCCCCATGACCGACAAAAAAAAGCTTGCAAGATACCATGTCAATCAAAGCCTGGCCATGCGCCTGCAATCCTAGCCGTGTGGGAGGCATAAACAGGACAATGGCCCCAGTCAAGCCTGGGCAAAACCACAACACCCCATTTGAGAAATAACTAATAAAAGCTGGACACTGGAGCTCACACTATAATCATAACTACTCTGGAGACTGAGCTCTGAGATAATGGCTTAAAGCCAGCCCAGGCAGGAAAGTCTCTGAGGCTCTTATCACTAATTAGTGGAGTGGCAGCTCAAATGGCAGAACTTGAGCAAAAAAGCTTGAGGACAGCACCTGCCCAGGCCCTGAGTGTAAACACTAAAACAAAAAAACCTGAAGCATGAAAGGCTGAGGGTGTGGCAGAGTATAAGTCTAGGCAGAGGGGTCAGAGTTCAAACCCCAGTACCACCTAAAATAAACTAATTTTACTTATATACTTACACATACATCAAGTTTCATCCTAAAAAACTTTCCCTAAAAAGGACTTTACCTAGTACAGTGCCAGTGGCTCATGTCTGTAATCCTAGCTACTCAGGAGACTGAGATCTGAGGATCCTAGCTTGAAGCCAGACCGGGAAGTAAAGTTGGGAAGTAAAGTCGGTGAGACTGATCTCCAATTAACCAAAAATGCTGAAGTGGAGTTGTGGCTCAAGTGGTAGGGCAGCTAGCCTTGGGCTAAAAGTACTGTTCGGCTGTGTCCACATCTGAACCAAATGTTATAGCAAAAGATAGAATCCTCTGGCTGAAAGGAGCAGAGCCACATGGTTTCCTCTGAAATAAATAGGATACAATCTAGTTTATGAAACCTCTGCTCTACACTCTTACCTGCTGAGGCTCTTGGTCCCTGGGTTTCATAGGTGCTACCTTCCGGCTCATGTCTTCACTCCCTTGTTATGGCTAATCTTTTTAAAAATCTGTCCATTTTCCTCTTGCCCAAATATGTCTGGGCATATCCTAGGTAAAACTGGAAAGCTCTAGAAATTAGCAGGAAAAATAACCATCCAAAGTTGTTTGGTATTTGACAAGATTTGTAAAACTTGTAGGACACTTAGACTACAGAAGAAACCATTAAAAAATGTACCAAAGGGGCTGGGAATGTGGCTTATTGGTAGAGTGCTTGCCTAGCATGCATGAAGCCCTGGGTTTGATTCCTCAGCACGACATAAACAGAAAAGGCTGGAAATGGTGCTGACAAGAAGGCAGAAAAGGCTGGTTTGGGGTGGGGGGTGGGGACATGATGACTGGAAGTAGAGCTTGGAAAAGCTCAGGGACAGCACTCAGGCCGAGTTCAAGCCCTAGGACCAGCACCAAAAAATAAGGTACCCAAAAACATGGATTTGAAAGCACAAACTGGGGAGTTTCACTAATACCATGTTAAGTTTTTCTAGTTATAATGCTAATTAAATTCCTCCCACTTTCATATTGCCTTTATATTTACTCTAGAAGCTGTAGGTAAGATTTACTGTAGTAAATGTAGGACTGTAGTCATACATCATGTCGCTGAATGGCTGAACCACTGGACCTTCCCCTCCTAGTCTTGGAGCAGTGAGTTTCCACGATCTGTTAGGTAGGACTGAGCTGACCTCAAGTCTGCCACCCATTCCTCCTGAGGCTCTCACACACTGCTCCTGCCTGCCCCCAGGATCTTGCTAACATCAACCAGTCAAAACTGTATATTTCAACATTGGCGTGAAACACATTTTTTCCTCCAGACCTTCTTGTCAAGCAAGGGTCAGATTGAAAAGACTTCAAAAAGTCATGTGGTCACATCTCTTCAATTTTAGACTAGAAGAGGACCTAGACCTCAACACGAAGTCATAAGGAAAATGAATGGCAGAACTGAACAGTAAGTCAGATCTCTTGGGATTCCAGTTAAAGGGTATCCTTTGTTATCAATCTTTTTTACTTATGTATTATTCAAACCTAGAAGTATTTACTAGGCTTCAAGGCTCCAGATTATTTGATTTCAACCTGTTTTCTTAAACTTGAACATGCTAGGCAAATGTTCTACCACTGATCTACACATTCCAGCCCCCTGAATATTATTTTCAAGATTAATTTACTCCTGCAGTCATTAAGGATGAGGATCTACTTGTGCATTTCCTCATCAGTAACTACTAACATAAGAATGCCAAATAACCTGTTCTTTAGTATAATTTAGGATGAGCTCACAATTAGAGCTCAATTTAAAAATGTAAGCATACAATTAGGCTTTACCAAAGAGTAACATGTTTATTTCACGTTAAGTCTTAAAAATACTTTTCTGGCAGTTATCACATAAAATGTCCTGATGTTAAAAAAAAAAATTAAAAAGAAAAGCATGGAAAAAAAGCAGACCCAAAATGTTAAGATTTTATTTACAAAGCTTTTTTTGTTGTACAGAAAGTAAAAATGCTGTTACAATCTTGGTGTAACTGGTTGCCACAGAGGGCTGACTCACCAATCACAGCTATCCACACTACAGCAAGAGTCTTACACAAAAACCTAACAACGCTTACAATTTTGTTGGGGCCAAGTCCCCAAGCTTGGTAGATGACCAAGAGGGACTAAAGAGAGGAAGGTGGAATGTCACAGGAACTATTCTTTGGCTCTTTGGGTGGGTGGGAGTCCTGGGGTTTGTATCACAGCTACCTTTTTTTTTTAACAGCTACCAAATCCATGAGCAGTCCAACCAATACTGAACAGTTCTGGTTTTGCAGGTTATTCAGGGTCTTAATCATCTTCTCCTTCATCATCTGTCTCTCTCTTCCTCTTTTCACCTTTCCCACTTTCTTCCTCATCTGTGCAACAACAAAAGTTGACAGTGAGACCGACAGTGAGACCACTGGAAAGGCATTTGCTAAATGGGGATTGCCTTTGGAGTCAACCATGTTTTGGTGGCTGAGACAGAATTAAAATGACAAATAGGTGGTGACCACAGAATCAAGTTAGGAAAAGTGCCTGTAATCCTAGCTATTCAGGTAGCTAAGAGATGAGGAAGATGATTCAAAGCCAGCTGGAGCAGAAAAGTCTGTGAGACTCTTATCTCTGATGAATCACCAGGAAACCAAAGTGGATTTGTAGCTCCAAGTGGCAGAGCACTAGCCTTGAGTAAAAACTCAGGGACAGCGCCCAGCCCTGGGTTCAAGCCCTGGGACGGACTGTCCCAACCTTTCCAAAATAAAAATAAAAAATCCATGCTGATTTTACTGAAGATGAATCTGTTAAAATTCTTTGAAGTTAAAGTTCTTTGAAGGCAGAGACCAAGTCTTTGCCAATGTCATGTCCACTTAGTTTAGTCCTATACATGGCAAAGAATGGGTGCTGAGTGAGAAGCAATGTAAAAAAGCACAGAAAAAAAAAAAAAAACCCAAAATGACCAGGAAAATTATGTAAGTCACTTCACTAGTCTCAGCTGTGGTGGGAAGAGGAATAATTCCACAAGAAAGGTGCTACTACATGCTAAAAAAAAAAGAAAAAAAGAAAAGGAAAAAAAATTAAATCCAATTACTGTCAGAAAAATCTTCTGACAGTAAGCCAACAAGAGGTCTATAACATTTAAAACACAGAGCCAGGGCTGGGAAGTGGCTCACAGTAGTAGAGTGCTTGCCTCACATGCAAGAGGCCCTGGGTTTGATTCCTCAGCACAACATGAGCAGAAAAAGCCAGAAGTGGTACTGTGGCTCCAGTGGTAGAGCGCTAGCCTTGAGCTGAAGGACAGTGCCCAGGCCCAAAGTTCAAACCCCACAACTGACCCCCCCCCAAAAAAAACAGAGCCTAAGTTGTACAAGCCCTTAGCATACCTAACTTACAGCAGCCCAGAGCTGCACCAGTGCATTATATTGATGGGACTGGAGGCAGGAAGTGCACAGTGACCCTCTTATCTAGCGGCAATAAGTTGTAAAAGGTGAACATTTTGCCAGGCACTGGTGGCTCACACCTGTAATCCTAGCTACTCAGGAGACTGAGATCTGAGCATCACGGTTCAAAGCCAGCCCGGGCAGGAAAGTCTGTGAAAATCTTATTTCCAATAAACCACCAGAAAACCAGAAATGGCACTGTGGCTCAAGTAGTAGAGCACTTGCCTTGAGAGGAAGAGCTGAGGGACAGCGCCCAGGCCCAGAGTTCAAGCTCCACGAAAAGGTGGATGTTTTCAGCCATTTTTACCAGAGGACCCAAGTATATTCATGAAACTTACCTTCCTCCTCATCCTCATCCTCATCTTCTTCATCTTCATCAACTTCTCCATCATGTCCAAATTCTTCTTCCTAAAAAAGAAAAAATAACACGGTAAAACTGAGAAGTACAAAGATAAATATACTTGCAAATAAATAATACACACATTAAGGAGAAAACTCTTGCTGCATGGACACTGACAATTTACTTGAAAACAAACAAAAAAACAAACAGGAGGACGGTGGTAGAGTGCTTGCCTAGCATGCACAAGGACCTGGGTTTGATCCCAAGCATCACAAATATATAAGGAAAAAAACAAAAACAAACATTCCCTTCAAGCTGGATATATGGCTATGATGGTGCACACTGTAACCACAGCACTTGGAGAAGAATGAGGCAGCAAAATACTGAGTTAAATCCTAGCTTGCGCTATACAGGAAGATCCTGTCTCAAAACACTTTTTCCCCTGAAACATTAATAATAACCAGCACCGGTGGCTCATGCCTGTAATTCTAGCTACTTATGAGGCTGAGATCTGAAGATCTCAGTTCAAAATAAGCCCAGGAAGTGAAGTCAGTCAGACTCTCATCTCCAATAAAAGCCAGAAGCAGAGCTGTGGCTCATGTGATAAGAGCACTAGCCTCAAGCTGAAAAAGCTCAGGGACAGCACCAAGGCCTTGAGCTCAAGCCTAGCAAAACAAGAAGAAAAAAGGCCAGAAGTAAGTAGTTAATCTTTAACAGCTGTGTGCACCCCAACCCTCTTTCCCTTTTACTGCTGGTACCAGGGCTTGAACTCATTTATCAGGGTCATGAACATGGGATTCCTGTGAACTTCTCTGCTTGAACTGGCTTTGAACCCCTGATCCTCCCGCCTAAGCTTCCCAAGTCCTCTGACTACAAGTGACTACTACATTCCCTTTGTAAACAAAACTTCCTTAAGCAATCATAATTATGACTATCATTAATTATGAGATCATACAAATGTTTTCAAAAGCAGGCTTGCACATTGATGAAAACGAACATTTTTCTGCCTGTTTTTTTCAAAACTCTTGAAGGCCAAACTTGAGTCACTACAGTTTCTCCTGTCCTCATTTGGAATCCTCAAGGATACTGTTTTAATTGTGTCCGGTAAATAAATCACCTACACTTTTAAGCAAGTATTTAATTTTGCACTCAACTTGTTAATTTTAACATGGCATGCATGTAATTCATTAAATAAAACTTAAATATACTACAAGTTCAGACTTGATAAATACCTAATTCTTTTCAAAGTAACAACAAACATACTATCACCTTTACCATTCCGTTTCTTCAATGTACTGAATACTAAAACCACTCCTTTGTAAAGGTACAAGGCCAAATTTTACCTTGCAGTTGAGCACTTGTCTGGTCAGCATTCAGTAGGTATTACAGGGGACAAAAGCTGCAGCAGTCATGACTAAGATTATTAACTATTGTCTTTCTTCTTAACCCACATTTGACTTTGATACAGGAAGCAGAGCACAAAACATTCACTGACCTCACCGCTGACTTCATCTTCATCTTCTTCCCCTTCTATATCTTCGTCTTCATCTTCATCCTCTTCTTCATCAAAGTCTTCCTCCTCACCATCTTCATCTTCCTCATCCTCCTCATCTTCTCCTTCTGAAAGCAGTCCCAAAAGGAATTCACTAAATACTTTTGATGCCCCCCAGGATATATTTGCCAAGACATACAGGCACACAGCTAAGAGCTAGCTGGCCTGTAGGGTTTCACCTCCATCAGGAATATCATACCCTCCCTTTCTACCACGTGCTATTATATAGCTCAGTCCCCTTAATCCAAGAGTATACCATAAAATTACAAGATTCCAAGTTCTTGTGAGTAGATGTGTATTACCCTTCTTGCTGACAAAATAAAAAAATGTATGGGATTTGCTTTAAAATTTGAAATGTTTAGAAGCTTTAGCACAGCTTTGCTTTGGTGAAGGACACATGTCTTCTAGTTCTGCCTTTTAAGTTTTTGTTCATGATGGATACGAACATGATTTTTCTTTGTGTTCAAAAACTAAGTCAATAAAGACAAAAAAAAAGTCATACAGGAAGAGGATGTGGTATGGCAAGGATACATTTATACAAGATCAGTTACAGGGGCTGGGAAGGTGGCTCAGTTACCACTGCGCTTGCCTTGCATGCCTGAGGCCCTGGGTTCAATTCTTCAGTACCACATAAGCAAAAAGAAAAAAGCCAGAAGTGGTACTGTGGCTCAAGTGGTAGAGCGCTAGCCTTGAGTTGAAGAGCTGAGGGACAGTGCCCAGGCCCAGAGTTCAGGACCCATGACCTGAACCAAAAATAAATAAATAAAAAAGATCAGTTATAACCAATCAGTAAAGATGAATGATGGGAAGAGATTTATTTCACTATTATTCCTACTTTAACGACTTACATTTCTATAACCTTAAAGGAAAAAAATGAGGCAGTGGTTAGCTCCATTTCTTTGTTATGGTATCTCAGAGCCAACTGTTCTGAGACATGTCTTTTTCCTGTCTGGTCACAGGGTATTCTGGGCATCTGCATTCTACATTTGGGCTTTGCTGACCTCTAGCTCAGTCTTTCTTCAGCTATAGGCTAACAGTGCGATTTCCCCTGCTTATCTAATTCCTATCAACCTTAACTGAGCCCCTCACTTCCTTATAGACCTTCCAGTGCTCCTCTACCCAGAATACAGTCTCTCACTCCAGAACCTGGGGTTTCTGCACACAGCATAGTTTCTTCACTTGTATCGATATTTATGAATGGTTAGTGAAAAAAATTTTTAGCAGGAAGAGCTCTGCATGGACAAGGGCCATGCCTTTTTAAAAAGTGATTTGGGCCAAGCGCCAGTGGCTCACGCCTGTAATCCTAGCTACTCAGGAGGCTTAAATCTGAGGATCACGGTTCAAAGCCAGCCCAAGCAGGAAAGTCCGTGAGACTCTTATCTCCAATAAACCACCAGAAAACCAGACGTGCGCTGTAGCTCAAGTGGTAGAGCACTAGCCTTGAGCTGAAGAGCTGAGGGACAGTGCTCAGGCCCAGAGTTCAAGCCCCACGACTGACAAAAAAAAAAAAAAGTGATTTGACTTTGTTTTACATCCCTGGCACACAGTCCTCAAATATTTACTTCTTGAATGGGATACAGTTCAATGAGTGCTAGCTTAGCACATTAAGATCCTGGGTTTCAAAGCAGTACTGTCAAGCAAATTTTCAAGCTGGCTGGTATACCCTCAGGATCCACTCTCCTCTCTTCCACAAGTTTCCTACCAAGTACCGGAATGTGCGGCTGGTCTGCCAGGTTGTGGTGTATTTAGATAAAGACCACAGGTAGCTTTTAGGAATAATTGGAAACCTACAATGAAGGGAACAAGATAAACATATACAACTGGGCAACATATCCTATTCTTTGTCCACTGACTCCCTGTGTCTTGTTAACTCTTGCCTACCTCAGTCTGCTGAAAAAATAAAAACAAAAATGTTTCCAGATCCTATTTAAAGCACTCGAGATGCCTGATGTCCTCCTTTTTTCAATTACTTGACTATTGTCCTTTTTGTTGTTGTTTTTGCCTACAGTAAAGTTTGAACTCAGGGCCTTGAGCTAGTTCCGCTTCTACTTCTTGAGCCACATTTCCAGCCTGTTTTGCTGGTTATTCTGGAGATGGTCTCCAGCACGTTTTTTTGCCCATGCTGGTTTCTAATTGTAACCCTCTGATCTCAGCCTCCTAAATATCAAGGATTACGAGAATGAGACACAGATACTGGTTTTGTGTGTTAATTAGTTGTGTGTGTGTATTCCAGTCATGTGGCTTGATCTCAGAGACTGAGTGCTGTCCCTGAGCTTCTTTTGCTCAAGGCTAACACTCTACCAACTTAAGCCACAGCTTCATGTTCAGCTTTTCTGGTGTTTAATTGGAGATAAATCTTGAGGACTTTCCTGCCTGGGCTAGCTTTGAGCCACGATCCTAAGATCTTAGCCTCTTGAGTAGCTAGGATTACAGACATGCACCTAGCTTTGTGTGAATATTTTTTTTAAATCTTTATTGTGAAAATACCATACAGAGGGGTTACAATTACATGAGCAAGATAATGAGTACATTTCTTATCAAGCATTGTTGCCTCCTCCTTTGTTTCCCCTTCCCATCCCCCCCACTTCCCCCGCCCCCGTGTGAATTTTTAAAATAAGTTTTAAAGAACATATTATTTTCCTTTTAACAGGAGATGTTTCAAGTAATACCAGGGTATGGTGAAGCTTGCCTATACTCTCAGTACTTGGGAGATTGATCAGGAAGGAAAGTTCAAGGCCAGCCTGGAGTACCAAGCAATATGTTGTCTAAATTACAAGAAAAAAGCAAAAGCAAATCAGAAATCCCAAATAGCATCATAAATGTAGTGGACTTTTTTTTTTTGTCAGTCGTGGGGCTTGAACTCTGGGCTTGGGCACTGTCCCCCCCTCAGCTCTTCAGCTCAAGGCTAGTGCTCTACCACTTGAGCTACATCGCCACTTCCGGTTTTCTGGTGGTTTATTGGAGATAAGAGTCTCACGGACTTTCCTGCTTGGGCTGGCTTTGAATCGTGATGCTCAGATCTCAGTCTCCTGAGTAGCTAGGATTACAGGCGTGAACCACTGGCGCCGGGCTTCAGTGGACTTTTTTTCTCTCCTCCAGTTTTGGTTTTAAAACTCAGAGCTTCCAATTACTCTGCCATTTGAGTCACACTTCCGGCCCTTTTTGTTTCCTTTATTTTTCAGTTTAGGGATGGTGACCCTCCCACCCATGCCTCCTGAGAATTGGGTTACAAGCATGAAGCCACCATACACCTGGCAAATTAAACATGTCTAGTGTTTAGAATTAGGTCCCATAGAAAACATACAGTAAGTACTAATGTTTTCTTAAGACAAGGTCTTATTATGTAGCCCAAGCTAGCTTTTCCTGATTCTCAGAAGTGCACTGTGGTTCAAGCAGTAGAGTGCTTGCCTTGAGGTGAAGAGAGCAGGGACAGTGCCCAAGCCCAGAGTTCAAGCCCCAGGATGGACAAAAACAAAACAAAACAAAAGGTGGGGGAGGGCTTGATTCTCCTGCCTTAGCCTCCAGTGACTGGATTACAAGTGTGCACCACCACACCCAGATGAAAGTATGTTTTGACTCTACAATGACTACTTTATTTCCTTTATGAGTAAAAATGGTATTCAATTTACAGTATCTAGAAATCATTATCTTTTGGGCTGGGAATGTGGCTTAGTGGAACAGTGCCTGCCTAGCATGCATGAAGCCCTGGGTTTGATTCCTCACTGCCACATAAACAGAAAAAGCCACAAGCTAACAGGCACTGGTGGCTCACACCTCTAATCCTAGCTATTCAGGAGGCAGAATCTGAGGATCTCAGTTTAAAGCCAGACGAGGCAGAAGATACCAAGAAACTCTTATCTCCAATAAGCCACTCAGAAAACCCGCAGTTGCTCAAATGGTAGCTTGAGCTGAAGAGCTGAGGGATAGTGCTCAGGCCCAGAGTTCCAGCCCCATGACTGACCAAAAAAAAAAAGGGGGGGGGCAGCTTTGAGCAAAAGAAACTCAGGGACAGTGCCCAGGGACCCTGAGTTCAAGACTGGTAAAAAAGTTTTTTAAAAATCATTACCTTCTTAAAACTCCAGCCATATATCAAAAAAACTGATTGTCTATTTGGCAACACCACCACCAACTACCCTACCAACTACCAATCCCTGTGGACAGTAACACAGGAGAGATAACCAGAACTTACATGCAACTTACATGGGGAGAAAGGACTTAAATACCTACAGGTAAGCAATGAGGATGATGTGTAGGTGGCTTGGCCTGGCTTGTGAGCCAGGAAATACTTCTGGTAGATGCTGCATTTGGAAAGACATGTAGCAGAAAGCAGGGATGGCTAGGAAAAAGGCATGGGGATATAAGACCCCAGGTTCTTTAAGAGCATTGCCATGACCTCAATTGACTATGTAGAAGTCAATAGTCTCTAGGCTCCATTTGGTAATAATTCTTATTTTCTGCCTTAAGGCTTAATGGTCTCAAGAGTTTATTAAAATTAAGTAGAGGTCCAAGCTCAAAATCTGATAGCAGTAACTCTCAGTACTTTGTATCAAGATCCTGGGGAAGCAGATGTCAGTATCACTAGATGCAGAGCCCCTTACCTTCATCCTCCTCTTCTTCATCCACACCATCTACTTCTGCATCTGAGTCTGGGGCTTCCCGGTCATCTCTGTCATAGCCATCCAGATAGGTCAGCTGGGGCAGGAGCTTGAAGACACTCTCTCGGTAGTCATTTAAGTTAGTGACCTCACAGTTAAACAGATCCAGGCTTTTCAGACAATCTAACTTTTTCTGAAGGAAAGACCAAGAACACAACTCCTAAATCAAAGAAACTAAAGCAACAAAACCCAACTCCTAAGGAAGTAAAAATTCTAGGTTTTGTATTCAATTAGCTGCTACCTACTCAGCCTTGTACATAGGAAACAACAGAAAGTTCTATGCCATGTCATAATAGCCTTCTAGATTTTAACCACTCTTCCTGATTCCTGCCCCTATTTGTTGTAGACAACTATCTTCTCGTGACAGCATTAGAGACATATAAAGCATAAACCCCAATTCACAGACAATTTAAAACATTTAGTTTGAACCTGAGCACAGGGAAATATTTAGACTTTTATAGGAGTCTTCAGTCTCAAGGCATTTAACAATTCTCCTTGGGGACAACAAAACAATGAAGGATGGATTATAATAATACATCAGACACATTTTCAAGGAAGATAGGAGTCAATATAGGGCAGGAAAAAAGAGGGGGTTGCAGAGGTAAAATCTCAGAAATACAGAGAAATACTACACTCTTCAAGGTATAGGGAAAGAACTGATGTCAAAGTCTTCTGATTTTGACATACCTTAAAATTTTGTTGCAAAATCCTATTTACTTGAAACCACCAGTTTCATTTATCTAAAAACAGTTAAGATCTAAAAAATATTGCAGAAAAGTTTTAAATAGTCAAAGTGGTTAGGAAAAATGTGTATGTATTTTACTCTGACTTTGGTTTGCTATAGTATACACAAACATACAAAATTTTAATTACTGGTCTGTTGAATTTCAATTAACAGTGAATAGAGATTGAAGAGTAGGATACTATTAAATATACGTTGAAAGACAATTTAAGAGCTAGAAGCAGACTCTTCTGGTTGGAGAAGCAGGTGCAGTCAATGAAAAGTGAAAAGGCATTTTTTTATTTATGTGTGGTAGTATCCTGAAAAGGGCAATAAAGCCTGGACTCCATATAGTATAGCATCATAAATGTAACAACTTCCAATGTTCCTAATCAAGAGGAAAAGCTTGGTTGGCTTTCTTCACAAAAAAAAAAAAAAAAAACCAGGATCTTTACATGAAATAAAAATTATAACGAAAGTAATGATGATGCTTACAACTATTTGGAAAAACTATTGTAACATTCATAGGCCTTGAACAAATAAAACAAAACCTGGCTCTCAGAACATAAAGGATCATATAATCTTGAGCATAAACTGCTTTGAAAATATATGCTCTAGAGCAGAGGATGGCTTGCTTACCAGTCTATTCTGGCTCAATGACCCATTTTATAAAATAACAGTTGTTTTTGAAACACAACCATACTTATTTACTCATGCTATATGTATGGCTCTTTTAGGGCTACAATGGGAGTGGAGTAGCTTTGACAGAGAATGTCCTGCGAAAGGCAGGGGGGCTGAATCCTATATGTAAAAAAAACCACCTTCATCTCCCTAGTCAAGAAGAAAGCTCCCATACTGATTTTCTTCTCCATGCAGCCCCTGAGAACACAGAATCGGGGAGGAAACAGAGGGTTTTTCAGCAACAGGAAGAAGTTGTACCCTCAAAACACAGAATGTATGATGACTCAAGAGTTAGTGATCAAATGTGCTAAAATAAGCTGTTTCTAGTTCTGTTAGTCCTGCAGAGAACTGTGTTCTTATCAAGTTTCCTACTGGGCAGCGCTGACCTCCAGCAACCCACCGATGACACTTCCTGCCAATGAGGACACAGTGCTGCCTCAAATAAAAAACCATTGGCTTTCATTTTGTCAGACAGAGTCTTACTGTAGCTCAGACTGGTCTGATATTCATGATCCTACTTACTTCAACATCCTTACTGGGAATTACAGACACTTGCTATCACACCTTGCAATGACAGTGGCTTTCTCATAGCCAAGCCTGCCTATTTAAACTAATAACAACCAAAAACAATTTAGGCAGCATTCCCAAAGTAGTCTAAATTTTTTTTCTTTTCAAAAAACAGGATCTCCTGTTGTCTTCTTACTCATGATCCACATGCCTATCTATATTATAGATGCTGAGACCTTGCCCACCCTGACTGAAAACTGTTTAATTAATAAATACGGACAAACATTTGGGGGGGAGGGAGTCAGAACAGTATTGAGTCATTTACATCTCTAAAATACTGCCTAAGAATGAGTGCCTACAATGCTTCCTGTGATACTTATCTAAAATGTTCTATAATACCCTCTGTTCTAGTTTCAACTATTCCAGTAAACAGGGCCAACCAGGACTCTCGTTTCACAATGACATGAATCTGAAAATTTTGGCTACCTCCTGACAAAGTACTCAGCATCAAATAATTTGGAAGTGCCAAACAGTATGCTAGAAATGAAATGAAAGCAAATATACACAATTCCCAAATAACTACCAGTCTAGAATTGTCTAAACATACTAAAATTGTGCTTAAAGCCCAACAGATACAAAATACACAGGTTAGATAACCCTGGATCACAAGTGTAATGTGTCAATACTGATAAAAAAATGTTTTACAACTTTATCATGCCAGCTGTCTGACCAAAACTAATAGGCTAGCCATAATAAACATTAAACATTTTATTAACAATAATTTTGCTTGCCTTCTTAGAATTTAGAAGGGCTTTGGGGGATGGTTTTGATGGCCCAGGTCTCTTAAAAAAGGTGTCCAAGGAAGTTTGAATTGATGCCTTCTTTGTCTCTCGATTAATGTCCCTGTAGCAAGCAGAGGCATTCACAATCATTGCATTGACTGTACGAACTGGGCTTGATGTAGTGTTCAAAATGTATGTGGTTAATGAGGATGAGGATGGTGTTTTCCCACTGAAGAACACTTTTAGAAGTCAAAATGGACCCAACATCTTCCCCCTTCACCATTTCCAACATCTACTTTACTCCAAGTGAGAAGGTATGGAGACCAATTTAGTATCCCCAAGCAATCTAACCAGCAAGCAGAGCAAGATAGTGGGAATCTCAAGCTTTTTCCAAAAAGCCCTGGTATGTAGCACCATAGCTCTGCTACGAAGTATGGCTGAGCTACACTTGACTCTGAATAAGGGATTCAGACTCTCCCAATCCTTAGCTTCCTCAATGTAAATCAAGAGCCATACATACTATTAGTATCTAATTGGTAAAATGTTTTTTCTCCCAACAATTACTACATAGAATCTGAATAAAGCACCTAGAATCTGAATATAGCACCTATAGTATATGGCATGGGCAGAATAAGTAGATCTTCTAAAATGGTAAATAAAACAAGTGGTTTCTTATCCTGCACTGTCCTGAGAAGGCTTTCATGGGGATCTGATACATTACAGACCAAATCAGCAACACAAAGGTAAACAACTTCTGCAAAATACTTGCTCCTGCTCTGCCACTGTGTGCTAGAACACTGATACAGGCTTGTGACAAACCCGCCATAAGAATTAGGAATAGCCAGTCATCCAGCACAGAAAGGTACCATCTTGTATTCTCGTTTAAAAGAGTAGGGGTAGGAGGAGATTATTTTCTGCTGATAGTGGACTAGTATGAGAGACTTGCCACCACCAGTAAAGAAAGACTTAGTGCAGCCCACTTGACTGAGAGAACATCAACCTAGTGTTCTGTTGTAATTTCCAGTTTTTAGAAAATTGGGTATGCAGTAAGTTGACAGGTAGAAAACAGGACCCAGGGGCAGAAGAAAAAAGAGTGAAATTGGGTTTGATCTAGGCTATTTACTCTAAGTGATTACTTAAGATTTTCCAAGTTCAGTTTCCTCATCTCTAAACAGAGGACAATCATTCTCTTTTCTCTATGTTGTATGAGCAAATGTTAATGTTCTTGGACACTGCAAAATTTGATGTTGATCTAATCACTGGAATAGGGGTTGGTTTGTAGAAAAAGAACAAAACAAAAATGAAGGAACAAAAATGAAGTGTAAAGTTTATGGAACAAAGTAAGTATTATGAGAAATGCCCACTTAATGCAAAAACTAAAGAGTTAGTAAAAGGGAAAAAAATCAATTTTTATTGTATTAGTTTCAATTTTAAGGTACTTTCATTCCTTTTCATTAAAGATGTCACAATTTTAACTAAAACAATTTAACTAAATAGCAACATTCTTTACAAATGAAGTGAACCCCACATACTTTAATATACCAAGAGAATGGTCTCAGGTCCTGAAAGACATCTCCTATCTGCATGTGACCCTCTCCAAACATAGCATAACTTATGAGACTGCCCCATACCTGCACTAATCTCTGCCTCTAGAAGCTCATTTTTGGCCACAACTTCCCAAACTACAAAACTAAGTAAATTTATCATCTGACTCTGTCCCTAGAGCTCCCAATTAAGGCAGAATTACTATCCTCTAAATTCTTCAATGAGGAAATTTGAGGCCTAGAAAGAAGAAGCAATTTGCCCAAGGTCACAACAGCAAGTCTATAAACAAGTGACACATTATATCTCAATACATTAAAAAAAAAAATTAAGGACTATCTTGGGCTTTCCAGGCAAAATTTTAGGCAACAGTGTCAGACCTAAAGCTTAGCAGTACTGTCTTTATCCCACCTACAATTCTGATGTGCTACCCAATATACTTTTTTCCTGTTGATGTATTTGGGTGAAAAAAACTATAACACATGTTTAAGGTTACTGTAAATAGATGAATTTTTAAAAGCACAAAAACAAAAAAGAATAAAGAATTCTCTTTGAAGGATGCCTCCACAGTGTCAGGCAGAAGGAATAACTCAGCTGTAGGAATACACATAACTAGAGGTCCTGATCTTTAGAATTGGGACTCCTATAAAAAGCAAAAAAGCAATCAATGTCTAGTCAATTATTAGCAATTATTTCCCCACTATAAATATGAAAATGAAAATGACCAGTAACTCTTAGTTTTGAAGTAATTACTTACCAAAGGTTCCAAGGTACTGATATCTTTCAGTTTATTTCCACTTAAGTTTAGATGCGTGAGATTTGGAAGTTTTTCTGGTAACATGTCCAGACCTCCCATGATTCTATTTTCACTGAGCTCAAGCTGCAAAGAAAACGTATTCAGCATACACACAAATACAGAGAACCATGCATCAATAAGGTATCATAAACAGCAAACCATTATAAAATAATCCCTGTTTCTACTAGGCAGAGAACAATACATGGTAAGACTTTCTTTTCTCCTTTACTCTGCTCTTTCTTTGCAAGTACCAGGACCTGAACTTAGGGCTTTATGCTCTTGCTCAGCTTTCTTGTTCATGGCTGATGTTCTGCCACTTAAGCCACACCTCTAGCTTGGCTTTTACTAGTTAATTGGAGACAAGAATTTTAGAAACACTTCTGTCCAGGTAAGCTTCAATCCACAATCCTCCAGGTCTCAGTCTCTGAGTAGCTAGGACTAGAGGCATGAGTCCACAGGCACCTTGAAACAAGTGTTGCTGAAAAGTTGACCTCTAACATTGAGAATACATTTTCTAGCTTAAAAACTGTGTCAAAACAATTAAAATTCTTAAAGAAGTTGTAGTAATTGTGTACCTGCCAGAAAAGGTAAATGGTCTTATGTATTCAACACAGCTTATTTCCTGTGCCAAGCAAAGTTTGAGGTGACCACTTCAAACACTGGTTCTAGATAGTGCAGCTCAGAAGACAATAGGAACAAAATAGGTTCCAAAAATTAATCCATAAAGAAACTCCAAGACCTCAGGAAAGTGGCTGGGAGAGATGTGCCAGTAATAGAGTGTATGCTAGGACAGGCCCTGAGTTCAATCCTGGGCATCAAAATCAAAGTAAAAAGAAAAGGGTAGGGCTGGGAAGGTGGCTCAGTGGCAGAGTGCTTGCCTTGCATACATGAGGCCCTGGGTTCGATTCCTCAGCACCAAATAGTAAAAAGGGCTGGAAGTGGCGCTGTGGCTCAAATGGTAGAGCACTAGCCTTGAGCTGAAGAGCTGAGGGACAGCGCCCAGGCCCAGAGTTCAGGCCCCACGACCGGAACCCCCCCCCAAAAAAGGAGGGGAGAGTTGAGCAATGGCCTCAGGTTTATGAAACCAGCTGCCCGGAGGCCACCTCTTAAACTGGCAATTTACAAGAATCAACTTTAATTTCTGAGCTGCAGGTCAAGTAGCCCAGGCACGTGATATGGCAATGAAGGCATGAGCCTTCCACAAGAACTTCTAGGTCTTATAGTATAAGGAACTGGAGCCTGGAAAGTAGTGAAGAAAATCTTAACTCAAGCTCTTCTTACAGCTAAAAGACCTCAGGCCCACCCAGCTGGTTCCAATTCTCTATGTTTATCTTAAGTATCAGTGTCAATGGTATTGAACCCTTACCTAGTATTTCTTAAGTGCCAGGCATTATTCAAAGCACTAAAATATCTTTTTTTTTTTTTTGGTTAGTCATGGAGCTTGAACTCTGGGCCTGGGCACTGTCTCTTAGCTCGTCAGCTTAAGGCTAGTGCTCTACCACTTGAGCCATAGTGCCTCTTCCAGCTTTTTCTATTTATGTGGTGCTAAGGAATTGAACCTAGGGCCTCATGCATGAGAGGCAAGCATTCTACCATTGAGCCACCTTCCCAGCCCAAAGCACTAAAATATCTTGCAAATCTACTTGGTAGGCAGAATTGTTGCCTCCACTGACAAATAAGAAAAATGAATCAGGGCTAGGAATGGCTCAGTGGTAGAATGCTTGCCTGCCTGCGTACTAGCATGCATAAAGCCCTAGGTTCAATTCCTTAGTAGCACATAAACAGAAAAGGCTGGATGGGGCACTGTGGCTCAAGTGGTAGGTAGAGTGCTAGCCTTGAGCAAAAAGAAGCTCAGGGACAGTGCACAGGCCTTGAGTTCAAGCCCCATGACTGGCAAAAAAAGCTAAAAAATGTAACCGGCCAGATTTCATAGCTGTTATTGCACTAGGTGCACAATCTGAATGAATCCAGACAGTAGAGATTCTAAGAACCCCTGTTTTTATAACTATCCTATGTATGGAAACCATGCAATGAATTATTTGGCATGTCATGGAATGAGCTAGAATCAAGTCATTGTCTAGGATTTTAAAGGTACTACTCTTCAATAAATAATCCATGCATTAACTTTGATTTTAATAAAAATAAAAGTGCTGAGCACCGGTGTCTCACCCCTGAAATCCTAGCTACTCAAGAGACTGAGATCTGAGGATCATGGTTGAAAGCCCGGGCAGGAAAGACCGTGAGACTCCTATCTCCAATAAACCACTAGAAAACCGGAAGTGGGGCCGTAGCTCAAGTGATAGAGCCCTCACCTTGAGCTGAAGAGTTGAGGGACAGTGCCCAGGCCCAGAGTTCAAGCCCCCTGACCAACAAAAAACAAAAAAATAAAAATAAAAGACCACTTTTCTTGGTGTGTAGTTAGGATCATGTGGTTAGAATATCACATACATAATATTACATATTTTCAAAGACAATCTTATGGAACAGGTAATAAGCTAAACCCACTAAGGTATTTACTGCCATATCCATTTTGAAATGTATACATTTAGGAAATGTATGGTATTTATACCCCAAATATCTTCCTTTTTTGCTAAGTTTTTTATTGTGAAAATACCATACAGAGGGGTTACAATTACATGAGCAAGGTAATGAGTACATTTCTTGTCAAGCATTGTTGCCTCCTCCTTTGTTTTTACCCGCCCACCTCCACAACTACACTCCCCCCCCACACACACACCCAAATATTTTCTTAGTACTTGTTTCTTTGTAAATACCCTGTGCTCTAGTGTATGAAGAAGGTATATATCAGGAATGGAACATTCAATCTTCCTTTTAAGTATGGTTTCCTCTCATTGGCCTGGTAAGTGATAAGTAATATTTTAAAATTCCAGAAAGATCTGGTCATTGGTGGCTCACACCTGTAATCCTAGCTACTCAGGAGACTGAGGTCTGAAAAATCTCAGTTCAAAGCCAACATGGGTAAGAAAGTCCATGATATTTTTTTCTGCAATTAACCACCACAAAAGCCAGAAGTGGAGCGCTGTGGCAGCTATGTAGTTCTGAAAAAAAAAAAGCCTAGGGTCAGCACCTAGGCCCCAAGACATGAGCCCCCCCCCCAAATCAGAAAGATTTGATACCGCCTCCTTAAGTAATCACACTGACTTCTGAATATAGCTAACAGTACACAGATCATGGTATTTCAGGAAAACTTACGAAGTGCTAGAAAAACAGATCATAGAACCACAACGGACATGCAAGCATCAAATTTATGCTAAATAAATGTGTAAATGGATTAATCAGTTTTCCAAATCACTGATAACCTATGCAAATTCAAAAGGTTACACCTGATTTCTTTCTTTTTTTTTGGGTCCGGTCATGGGGCCTGAACTCTGGGCCTGGGCACTGTCCCTCAGCTCTTCAGCTCAAGGCTAGCGCTCTACCATTTGAGCCACAGCGCCACTTCTGGCATTTTTCTTTTTGCTTATGTGGTGCTGAGGAATCGAACCCAGGGCCTCTGGCATGCAAGGCAAGCGCTCTACCACTGAGCCACCTTCCCAGCCGTTACACCTGATTTCTACAGTAGTGATACTTAGAAGGGAAAAACTGATTATCAGCCAAGTGTGCTCTAAAACTCAAAGAGGACTGCTTGAGCACTTATTACCTAGACAAATCAAATTTGGGGGAGAGAAATGATTTTAAAAAAAAGTATTTATTAAATATACCAAGTCTCTTAGGACTCAAAGCTCTAGGAATAGACTACCACTCTTCTTCCAAATTATAAGTCTCTTTTTAAGTGTGCCTTTGTCTAAATAAAAGGTCAACTTAAGTCCAGTGCCAAGTGGTAGAACGCTCACCTTGAGCTGAAGCTCAGGAACAGTACCCAGGCCCAGAGTTCAAGCCCCATGGCAAACAAAAAAAATTGAAAAGGGGCTGGGAAGGTGGCTCAGCGGTAGAGCGCTTGCCTCACATGCATGAGGCCCTGAGTTTGATTCCTCAGCACCACATAAACAGTAAAAAAGGCCATAAACAGTAAAAAAGGTCAGAAGTGGCACTGTGGCTCAAGTGGTAGCATGCTAGCCTTGAGCTGAAGAGCTCAGGGACCGTACCCAAGCCTAGAGTTCAAGCCCCACGACTGACCCCCCCCCAAAATTAAAAAGTTCAACTTAAGTTCCCTAATAAAGTGAATGACCAAACTGTGGTGAATTCTGTGAAACTTGTGCAAGAAAGGGCTACAGGCATCCCAATAGTTATTAAGCACTATTAATAGCACTATTAAGAGCAAGGACGGAGTACAAACCCAAATCTTTCTTACATGTGCGCACGCACGCACACACACTAATAAGCTTTCTGCTCCAGAAATCTGGAGCTCTGTAATCGAAACTTTTAGATCCTTCTAGTCAATGACAACACAATCAAATTTCATAGTTATTAAGTATTACAGGATGAATTCGAATCATCATGGATATAAAACACAACAATTAACAAACTACTTACCATCACTGCAATTGTACAAAGTCAAGTAGTACCACAACGTTTACAGATGAGCAAACAGAGCCTTGGAAAACTGATTTGCAGTTTCCCATGGAGGAAGCAACAGACCAAGGATCCAACCTGTTATCTGCTCAGAGTTTTCTACATCAAGCACTCCCTTACAGGCAAAAATCATAACAATTTTCCTTTTCCAGGTTCTGTCATGTAAAAGTTAGAAAAACACTTACCTTTTTCAATTTAGGTAGCTTGGGGAGATTTGAAACTGCAATCAAGTTCACACTTATTAAACTGAGGAACTCTAAGTTCACAAATTCAGCTGTTAGGCCTTCAATTTTTCCATCATTTGATTTGCAGTTGTCCAAGACAAGTTCTCGAACCTGTAGATAACATAGAAAAAAGGAGGGAACACACTGTCAAAAATATAGAAAAGGGGCTGGAAAGGTAGCTTATTGGTAGAGTGTTTGCCTAGCATGCATGAAGCCCTGGGTTTGATTCCTCAGTACCACATAAACAGAAAAAGCCAGAAGTGGAGCTGTGATTCAAGTGGTAGAGTACAGACCTTGAGCAAAAGAAGCTCAAGGACAGTACCCAGGCACTGAGTTCAAGCCCCAGGACTGGCAAAAATAAATAAATAAATATATATATATATATATATATATATATATATATGCGCGCGCGCACACACACACACACACACACGGCAGATTCAAAGACGAAATGTTAATTCATAATATAAATGATGATCTATATGCCATGTTATACAATTTAACTTCAGTCTTAAAGATTTGATTCCTAAGATTTTAAGATTTAAGACTCAAAACCGCCAGGTGCTCGTGGCTCACGCCTGTAATCCTAGCTACTCAGGAGGCTGTGACCTGAGGACCTCAGTTCAAAGCCAGTCCAGGCAGGAGAGGCTGTGAAACTCTCATCTCCAATAAACCACTAAGAAAACTGGAAATTGGCTCAGTAGCTCAAGTGGTAGAGCACTAGCTTTGAGCTTAAGACCCTAGAGTTCAAGCTCCATGACAAAAAAAAAAAAAAAAAATCGCTAGGGGCTGGGAAGGTGGCTCAGTGGTAGAGCACTTGCCTTGCATGCCTGAGGCCCTGGGTTCAATTCTTCAGCACCACATAAACAAAAAGAAAAAATCCGGAAGTGGCGCTGTGGCTCAAGTGGTAGAGTGCTAGCCTTGAGCTGAAGAGCTGAGGGACAGCGCCTAGGCCCAGAGTTCAGGCCCTAAGACCTAACATCCCCCCCAAAAAAAGATTGCTAACTTCTGGCTAATGGTTTCTACAAACACACTTTCTTTACCATTATCATCTTGACACTGGAAGAACCCTTAATTCAAAATAAAGACCCATCTTTATTTTACACTTAAGAAAGGCCATTCCAGAGTAGAAAACTGTTAAAACATTAACTTAGCTCCCTTTTTCAGTCCTTTAGGTTTCCTTTTTTTCAGAATTCAAATCCATCTAATGATATCACAGATCATTCTGAATTGAGTTATTTAGTAGTCCGCTATGCAAACCTACAATTCCTACTGTCACTTTTGTTGTTTAACAGTTGACTCTAAAGCTTGAATCTTTAACACACTTTCATCTACTTACAGTGATGCAAATTAAAGTTTTTAACTGCCAAAGGCATTCTTGCATGAAACTACCATGTTTAATAGTATTAAACAAGTACACATATGGGAGATGCTGAGAGTGGAAAAAGAACCAACAAGTAACAATGTCTCTATCCTTCCATACAAATCCAATAATGCTACTCCAGTAATTGCTAACAACTGTGGAATACACACTGGCTTGGTATTCTTCCATCAATACATAAATGCCTCACCTCACTACCTCTTACCACCCTACTTCTTCAGGAGCCTTGGTTTCAGGATGCATACACACCTATTATACCACTTCTGTCTTCCTTCCACTTTGCTAAAATACCGCTGTGCCCTGTGCCCCGACCCCCTTTTCCTTTCAAGGAACTGAAAACATGAGGTCATCTCTTAGCAGAGCTAGGCTATGGAGCCAGATGCCTGGGATTCAATCCTGCCTCTGACACAACCATCTCTGTCAACTTGGAGAAGTCATTTAACTTCCTTGGGCTTTAGTTTCCTGTAAAGAGAAGAGAATATTTACCTCAACCTCATGAATTTGTGGTTGTAACAACTCTAGGTCAGAGAAAATGCTTAAAACTTAACCCCTGGGGGAAAAGGAAGGGGAAATGCCAGAACTTCTGTTGTTTATTCATGTCTGTACTTAGCCTGTGCTACAACAGTGACAGCCTGTCAAAAAAAAAAATCAAAACAGTCAAGAGCAACTGCTCACCCATTTAAGCAGTATGTTAAAATGCAATTAAAATACTCCCCTTTTGATTTAGAAGGTTTTCTGTGATTAACAAGGTATCTAAAGTTATACAAAATAACACTAACATGCCTAAAGTTTAATTATAAGGTTCATCATACTGCCTTCCAGCTTAGGGAAAAATGCTTCTTCAACTATTGTGTTGGATCATAAAAAATAATTAGAAGAAAAAAATACCATCATCATCTCAACACTTAGGAGGGCTGAGGCAGGACTGAATTTGAGGCCAACCTTTGGAGTACTTAGCAAGACTGTCTCCAAACAAAACAAAACCCACAAAGCATTCACATGGAGGTTAGAACATGCTTACTGAACCAAACAGCAGAATGGGAATCATAAAGAGTAAACTGGGGAGAGGGTGACAGAAAGGCTATAAAGCAGCTGACACATCATGTTTATTTGCTGGGTATCAAAGGTTCTGGTAGAGGTCTAGATTCTGATTTAGAAAAATGGGAACCCAGAAGCCCGGTATGGTAGTACACACCTCACCAATGATTCCAGCAACCAGGAGGCAGAGGCAGGAGGATTATGAGCTCCAGAACAACCTAGGTTACATAGTAGTAAGACCCTGTCTGCAGAAAAAAAGAGAACCTCATGGAAATAAGGCACAACTTTTGAAAAGGGAACACAATGACCACCAAAATGAATACCAAGCTGAAAATGACCATGCGATGTCCAGGTAAAAATATCCAATAGTAGCCGGGCACTGGTGGTTCATGCCTGTAATCCTAGCTACTCAGGAGGCTGAGATCTGAGGATTTCAATTCAAAGCCAGCCTGGGCAGGAAAGGCCATGAAACTTTTATCTCCAATAAACCACCAGAAAATCAGAAGTGGCACTGTGGTTCAGTGGTAGAGTGCTCACCTTGAGCTAAAGAGCTGAGGGTCAGCACTCAGGCCCAGAATTCAAATCCTATGACCACCACCAACAACAACAAAATCCAACAGTCCATCAGCACATGGGTCTGGAGTTGAAGGAGGTCTGGGATGAAGTTGTGTTTGGAGTCATCAGGTAATAAGACAGTGGTAGAAAAGTAAAGGTAGTAAGAATGGAATTGTAAAAAAAAGATTGAAGAGATCACCCCAGTCCCTCTGCATCATGTGAGCACAAGCAAAGTCACTAATCATTGAATCAGAGCACAAGCCCTGTCCAGTGACAGATTCAGTGACTACTGAATCTGATGACACTCATATCTTGAATTTCCCAACCTCCAGAACTGTGAGCAATTTTATATGCTTATATGAATACATACACACACTCACACACACCTCTTCCTACACCACACCTTCCTACATGACAGGATCAAGTCGTGTAGCCCAGGCTGGAGGACATGTGATTAGAGGTTCAAATACAAAGAATAAAGCATAAGAATATTGAGAAAAACTTGTAGAAAATGGCTTAAATGTCTATTAATGAGACTCATTCCTAGAATTAACTCTGGCATAAAAAATGTTTAAAATATATGCATAATAAAAATATGTGAAGCTGGGCACCAGTGACTCATGCCTGTAATCCTAGCTACTCAGGAGGCTGAGATCTGAGGATCACAGTTCAAAGCCAGTCTGGGCAGAAAAGTCCATGAGACTCTTATCTCCAATAAACCACTAGAAAACCAGAACTGGCGCTGTGGCTCAAGTGGTAGAGCGCTTACCTTGAGCTGAAGAGCACAGGGACAGCGCCCAGGCCCAGAGTTCAGCTCCCACCACCAACAAAAATGAAAAACACAAAACAAAATATATCTCAGTACCCTACAACAACAGAAAAACTAGAGGCTCAGGGACTTTTTTTTTTTTTGGCTTTTCATTTTGTAACCTTTCTTGATTATGAAAATCTAGTCAGGTACTGGTGGCTCCCACCTGTAATTCTAGATACTCAGAGGCTGAGATCTAGAGGATTAGGGTTTGAAGTCAGCACAGAAAACTCCAAGCCCCCTCACCCATCCAATTAACTAGCAAAACAAAGAACTGGAGATGTGGCCCAAGTGGCAGAGCACCACCAAGCCACTCAAAAGAGTATGAGAGGCCTTTATTTCAAGTCATGATACTTGTATGTACACACGCATGCATGCACCATCCGGTCCCAGATGCTCACATAATCCTCAAAAGTCTAAGATCTGAGAATCATAGTTCAAAGCCAGACTATACAGATAGGTCTATGAAATTCTTATTTCCAATTGATTATCAATAAGTTGGAAATGGGCTGGGTGCTGGTGGCTCACCCCCTTAATACTCACTACTCAGGAGACAGATCTGAGGATCATGGCCGGATCATGGTTCAAAGCCATCCCAAGCAGGGAAGTCAGTGAGATTTTTTTTTTTTGCTTATGTGGTGCTGAGGAATCGAACCCAGGGCCTCAGGCATGCAAGGCAAGCGCTCTACCACTGAGCCAACTTCCCAGCCCCATCAGTGAGATTCTTATGTCCAGTTAATCACCAGAAAACCTGAAGTGGCACTATGGTTCAAAGTGATAGCGGTGGAAGAGCTAGAGTCTTGCAAAAGAGCCTCGGGACAGCATCCAGGCCCTGAGTTCAAGTCCCACAACAACAACAACAAAAAAGTTGGAAATGAAGCACTATTTTGGTGGTAGAGCACCAGCCTTGAGTGAAAAAGGAATAGCACCCAGGACCAAATTCAAGCCCTAGGACTGGCATGTATAGACCAAAACACAAAACCCAGGCTCACACCTGTAATCCTAGCTACTCAGGCGACAGATCTGAGGATCACGGTTCAAAGCTAGCCCAGGGCTGGGAAGGTGGCTCCGTGGTAGAGCGCTTGCCTTGCATGCATGAGGCCCTGGGTTCGATTCCTCAGCACCACATAAAGAAAAAAGTTGGAAGTGGCACTGTGGCTCAAGTGGTAGAGCACTAGTTTTGAGCTGAGGGACAGCGTCCAGGCCCCATGACCGAACCACCCCCACCCCCACCCCCCACCCCCGCCAAAAGCTAGTTCAGGCAGGAAAGTCCATGAGACTCTTATCTCCAATTAACCACCAGAAAACCAGAAGTGGTGCTGTGGTTCA